TCTTCTTCTGCTTTTGGCTGCACGCAAGGAAAGCAGCCAAAGTCTTTTTCTTTCCCCCAAACTCCGCCAGAAATGAGTCTTTGGGGCCCTGCAAGGCCTCCTGCTCCAAGAGGCTGTGCCAGCACGACAATGAGTCACGACAAAGACTCATTTCTGGCGGAGTTTGAGGGAGAGAAAGGAAGACTTCTGCGGCTTCTGCTGCTTTCCTTGCATGAAGCCAAAAGTCCCCCCCCCCCCGCCAAGAACGGAGCTGGAGACGGTATCCCGTGATCCCAAATAAAGAATGATCGATCAGTAGGAAAACGGGGTGGGGAATATTCCTGCAGACTTTTCTGAGATTTTTCTCAGGGTCTCTGCTCCGCGGGATTTAAAATGATGAGTTTGGTGGTCCCCGAGGTCCAAAAGGTTGGCGACCCCTGGACCAGGAAGCAAAGTCAGTTCATGGGCTAATTTGCAAAATGGGTGCCAGAGCCCATGACTCTTGTGGAATTGAAATCTGGCAAACTTTATAAAACATGTTATGGCCTAAAAATTATAATAGGATGACATAATACAAACTATCAAAAAACATTTCCAGGGGGAATCAACTGCTGATGTTTGACTGCTACCCCACGGAACATGGGCTACTTTCAAGGCGGGTCGATCTCTGAATCTCTCCTCCCTGAAATTTTGGGAACTTTTCTGTCCCCCAAGGAAGCGTGGTCGTTATTGAAATTGATCAGGAAATATCTCTGAAACTATGGCCCAAGAAGTCTAGTAGTAATTTATTGTATTTACAAACCAACCAATCACTAAGGACCCTGGCAGCTTACAGCTAAGAATACAGGTTAAAAGCCCAGGCAGTCCTGAAAGACGTAAACATTGAGCCACACTACAATCAAGGCCAGATGGAGCGAAGGGTCAGGCACCCTCTGGAAGAGATCGGGGAGCCAAGGAAGGGCTGAAAAGCAGGAGGCCCCACCTGGCTCTCATTCCAAGATGGAAAAAGGAAAGGAACTTCCCAGACCCCTTGAAGTGGGGGAGGGGGGGGGAGCTGAGCAGTCAGAAGAGGACGAAGGCAGGTGGGGCACGAGGGGCAACCTCCGCCACTGCCTACCTGAGAGTTGGCGCTGGCCAGGAGCTGCACCATGTGCTGCATGAGCTGCTGGGAGGGGTTGCTGTCCCCAGCTGGGGCGGTGCTGGCAGGGGCCAAGCTGCTGGGCAAGGGGGGCTCCAGGACTGGGGTGCCGCCGGGGGGGGGGGGGGGGGGGGGCTGAGGGGCCCCAAGAGATCCCAGGCTGCAAGGCAAGAACACGCTTTGTTTAGCCAGCAGGAAGCAAAGCTGCAGGTGGGTCTGTCTGGCAGGTGGGAGGAAGATCCTCCCACTCTGGGACACGGTCCCCACCACCGGGCCCACCTCAGCCCCTTCGTACCTGGGCATGAGGCCTGGGGCCTCCGTCTGCAGCAGCTGGAGCCCCTGCTGGATCTGCAGCAAAGCCTGCATGGCCCGAGGGTTCGTCAGGACCGAGAGCGAGTCGGGGTTCTGCATCTGTGGGGGGGGGGGGGGGGG